GGCTCTACTCCACAATCTGCTCAGACTCTGGCTTCAAATGAAGGTGTCACCCACACTCATGATATTTTAGCTTCGCTTTTGTACAACAGGAAGACGTGGATAACCGTTGTCTCCTATGATGTGCTGGTCCAGCTCAGATGACTCTGTCCCCCTCCCTTTGCCATTAGAAGAACACACCTGTAAATGAGGTCCTCATAGCAATAGTAGTAAAAGGGTGTGTGTGTGTGTGTTTTTCTGCTGGACAGACAGATGTTGACAATCTACTTATTGTGGTAAACGCAGACACACTGCACCAGTTGCAGTGCACTTAACACAGAACGGGGAGATATATTTGACATGGATGTTATTGCTCCTGTGGATCTCAATCTGGTTTCTACTGCTGGAAAACATACTCTCATCCTTCCATCTACGTTTCCTTTCTGTCTCCTCTCTGTGCAATTTGTCGCTGCTCTTCCTTCGATTCCCGGTGTTCATCTGCCCGTCTCTGATCTCCTGCAGCATCAAAAGGTGTTGAAGAGGTTTGCGATCTCACCTTCCTCCCCACAGATCCCTTCATCTTCTTCAAACAGACTAAAGTGCAAAAGGCTAACTGTGGGTTTCAGGCATCTTCTGCTCTGTCCTCCTGTCTCTCACTTGCTCCTCTGCCCTGGCCTCTGCTATCAGCAAAGTATCTTGACAGAAATCATTTCTGAGCATAGACACGGCTGATCTTCAGATTGAGACTTCATGACCTTGGTCCTCAGATCTATTCTAAGTTGTTTGCTGCAGTGACATGCTGGACAGTTTTAGATGTAGCTGTAGGCTCTGGTTTGACTGGCCAGGAACACTGCATCAATAACCATTAACTATTATTCCAAATTAAGCAAAAACTAATTTACACAATGTCAGAGAAGATGTCAGGTGTGGCAGCATTTAGTTAAAATGGATGATCGAATAGCTTTGTGCAAACCATACTATATAAAGATGGATGACACATTGCCACTTGCTTGCACTTTCCAGAAATGAAGCCAAAATATACGAATGCTGCCATCTTGCACATTTGAAGCTAGAGTCTGAGCAGTTGTCATTGACGATATCGCTCCAATAATTAGATTAAAATGGTGTAAAAGGCTGCAAATACTAGCTATACTTAATTTGTTATAGGTATTAGTTTTATTAGTACATGTGTGTATGTATTTCTATAGGATTAAATGGGATTATAGGACATTTAGCCACGATAAACCCCTTGGGGTATGATGATCCAGAGGGCATTAAGGCCTAGACCTTACACGTTTAACTTCATCACACACACACACACACACACACACACACACACACACACACACACACACACACACTAACCTTTACCCTAAACCCATTCCTCATCTCGGCGAAAGCAGACTCTGAATGAATGGCCTCGCTAAAGGCTTTTTAATAGACTGCTTTGTGTGTGGAAAACTCTTGGTGACGGGGGGCGGGGGGGTCCCAGGGGAAACATGGGAGGGAGGAGAGAGACGGAGAGAAGCTGGGAGACGGAGTGAGAACGGCTCATTGGAAAGCTAACTGAGCAGAGAATCAGTTATTTCCTGTGCTATGCTGAACCTAAAAGACATTTAAACACCTTATTTAAATCCAGCCAATTACAATAATGTGTCAAAATAACAGCAGTGTTAAAATACTAGATAACTGAGACCTGTTAAAAATCTTAGCTGTATACTGTTGATTTGAATTTACAACAACAATTTGACTATAAGATGTTGATTGGTTCAAAACCCTTATGCTACAATTTAAGGTCAACATAAGGTGATAATGTTTGACTGCATAATCTTTGGGAAGGCGATATTTGCACCGTCGCTGTGTATTTCAGTCTCGGCTGCAAAGAGTGTGAATGAAGACATTTATTACAACAGAGACACAGAGGATTAGCACAGGGCTTAAACCATTCTCATGGTAATGCACAGAGCTGGGAGCGCGCAGATAAACGCAAACACTCACCTTATCAAAACACCCAGACCTGGAAGACTACTCCTTAACAGCACTGACAGACCGACTGAGACACACTGACAGAGAGCAGGGACCAGACGACAGAGAGAGATGTCAGTTAGTTATGGCCTCATTCAGAAATATTATTTGGACAATGCATCAGTCAAGGTTGCACGCAGTACACTGAAATGCAAAAGGTAAGACGCCATTGTCCAAGTTAATGCCACAAAACTAGGTTGTTAGTAGGTTGTTTTCTGCCCCACTGACTCAAACTTTGAGTTTCAGTTTTCAGATGTTAACAAAATGATTTATTGATTAATCGAGAAAATAAACATCTGATAAAATGATAATGAAAGGTAAAAATACTAAGGCTAATGTCGTATTTTGCCATGTAAAAGTAAAATGTAATGGATTCCTTCTTTGCCACTCTTCCACCTTTGGCATTGCGTAATGCTGCTGACAAACAATCGTGATCTAACTTTTAGTTTTGCTCTGGTACTGCATTGTTTAGTGCTATGCTAGTGCTTTTTCCCGAATCTTTGGGTTTGTGTTCTTGTGATATCGAGTTTTATCTGCTACCACCATTTATTGAGCTAAATATGTGGAAAATGCTGCATAAAAAGTGGAAGAAAAAAATCTGGATCAGTCTATTTATTCAGATCTGCTCAAAATTGAATGGTTTCTTCCATCATGTCCCACTCGGCCACAAAGTGTCAAGGAAATGAGTTCAGTAGTAGTTACTGTCTCTAAAAAATAACTTTAACATAAACGCAAAAATGTTATGCTCCGTGTTTTTGATGCCAAAATATCTCAGTCTACTTTAACTTCTTTAAGATTCACTTGCTCATTCGTTCATTATTTTCTTACCATATGTTGCTATTATCAACAGTATGCGTTTTTAATTTTGGTGACCGAAGATGTTTTGACTGACCGATTGATAACTGAATCTCTACTGATCATAATGCCGAGCGCAGATGTGAAAGACAATGCATGTGGGACAGTAATCTCTCTGCTACTGTAATCCACAGTATCCTCTCTCTGCTCCAGGCGATCACTGTGTTCACTCGTGTCTTCTCAACACTGCAGTCAGACAGCAATCTTAGCCACCAAATCCATGTCTCTCCAAATCTCCTCTCTTGGCGGCAGGTATGTTTTTTGGCCCCTTCAAGAGAAGCTGAGCTCTGAGGATTTTTATATCCGTCTTTTCTATAGACTCAGTCTCTTTGAGCATCGTGGTGTAACAGCACATCACGTACTTTGCACGACTCCAAGATTCTCCCGGGTGTCTTGTTTTAGAGAAAACTAAACCAGCGACGTAGAAAGTGACATTCTTAACTTTGGCAATAATATAAGTTTGTTGTAGTTACAATTAATTCTTTGATGCATCTTTCATATGGCATCTAGTAGTAATTTCGATATTTATATCTTTATATCTATATATATCAAGTATCAGAAGGTGAGGAGGAAGGTTTTTTTAATGCACTGCAAAAACAAGCTGTCAAAATGATTCAATCAACGAAGATACCAGGACATTAGAGATAAAGGACCATCTCTAACACAAGCATGTTTCAGATAAATGTTCTGTCTGCAATTCAAGTAAAGTATTTTATTTAAATGGTATTCTTCAAAGTCACAAGTATTTAAACACTAATGGATTAACTAAGTGAAGAAAAAGCTCTAAAACACAGTCCATAAAACAAACAAGCAGCCATGACAGCGTGCTGAAACGTCATGATTGATAGCTGAGACTTACTAGCAATTAGTCCGAGCGCAATTGGTGGGAACGCAATCCCACGGCTCCACTCCACGATCTCTACTGCAAAGACTGGTTCCAAATGTTGTCAAGAGTACACACGTGACCATTTAACTGGACCACCCAAATATTGTTGCCTCTGAATCAAAAATGGATTAATTATTGAATCATTGCAACAATGACTCTCTTTGAGCTGCAGGGTTTACAACAACCTGCAGTGGAATGTGGATAAGTACATCTACTCCTCTGGTCATGTTTGAGGTGCTCTTACTCAAGTGTTTTTCCCCCCTCACTGTACACTGGCTGCACACTCATGGATATACTACCGTTGTGAGTATTGAGTGTTATGCACCTTTCATAATCGGTCACAGGCCACACTAACATGATGTGTCAGTGTCAAGTGGAAGGGAGAAACATTCTGCTTCATTATTCTCTCTAAATACGAAGCTGTAGTCTGTACATATAACTGATAATCATTACATCCAAGTGTTTTTGAATAGAAAAAACCCTGAGGATAAGAGACTTGTTTGTTTTGTGCTACAGCCACAAGCTTCTCCACAATCCAGCAGGCAGCAGGGACTCAGAGTAATACCCATAGGTCAAAAACACTGAGTCTACTGTCTGCAACATGCAACTGTCGACCTACTGGGACGTCACCCATCGTTTTGAAGCCTCAAGCTTTGCATTTTGTGGTTTTCATTTTTTGGAAACCAGAAGTAGTCATATTTGGAGGAGCGGAGGTTGACCTGACTGACAGCTCTCCCATTCAGACACTTACATTTTGTCTCTAATTTGGACCATAATTTGCAAAATGAACATCCTGCTGCGTTGAAGAAGACTGGAAACTACAGATTGAGATCATAAACTTCTATGTTAGACTTCTACAGAAAGTTTCACAAGCTATGGAGACTGTCATTTGAGAGAATACATCCCCCCTCTCCCCTCAGTCTCTCTTGCATTCTTCACTGCAGCTCCATGCACAGTGACATGTGGAGGGCAGTGAATCTGTTCGAGAGCTGGTATCAGCAGCAGCAGCAGCAGCAGCAGCAGCAGCAGCAGCAGCTGAGTAGAGTTTTGGTGTTGGAACAGTCTTAGCAGGGAGTGCACACAGTTACAGTAAGGCCCAATAGGAAAAGCTGTTGGATTAATTCACCACATTCACTGCGTACAGCTCCAGTTGCTGTGTGTTGTATTCTCAAGGCCACAGTATGATTCAAACAACGCAACAGGGCTGGAGGGTGTCAATCATAGGGAACAAATGGTTCAGGTATAGACTTACTCTTTTTCACCTCAAGGTTTCCGTCTGAGTTGAGAGTATTATGTTGGAGGTCCAGTCTGTTCAGTGTGGAAGGTCTCGTCCTGTCGTGTTCTGTAGACAGATAAATGACTTTATTAGACAGATGTGTTGATCGTCCTCCTTGTCAGCCTGCTTTGGTTCATACATTATCGACACCACAAGAGATCTTCACACTTGAGGTTCAGTCCAGTCCATAGGGGAAATAAATCTGTAACCTTTGCAGCGTAGATGCCAGAACCACGGGACTTTGTATGGATGTTTCCCCCACTCCTCCGGCTGCCAGTCTTCCCCACCTTGACAGAGATGTGGCTTCCAGATCTCTCCCCTGCCACCTCTGATTAAAGCTGCCGTGGGTGAGACACACCTGTACAGTTGATGGGAGACAATGCCGCTGCTTCCTCCCAGAGATTGATTTTCTCCATTAAAATGGGCCCTTTGTCTAAAAATCCTACACCCCCTTTGTTATGCTAAAGAGAAGATGGAAGATTTCCAATTCAATTTGGGCTGAGCCGAGGGCTGGTCAGCTATATGGGCCTCCATTGTCCCGGCCGAGCCCGCTGGGATGACGCTAGCGTCTCCCAAACGCCAATTAAGTCGGACGGAGAGACGGACAGGGGGATAATTGACAGGCAGGAGAAAGGCAGCTCTCATCATTGAAAAAGAAAATCAAAGAGAGAGAGAGCAGCAGGGAGGAGAAGTGAGGGATGAGAGGGAGGACGAGAAGTAATAACCTGTAATATGTTGCCCAGAGCAAATTCAGATTACATGAAGTGTTCAGCTCATGTACACGACTTTGGCCCACGAGCATCAACAAGACAATGAGAGGCTTGATTAAGAGCCAAGAGAAATCTCTGATGTCACTTAGTATAGGTTGATTAAACGTAGTGAAAGGATGACAAAGCAGCTGTTTAAATTCCACCTTAATATTATTCATAATAATAATAATTTTACTTTACATCTCCGTATCTTCATGCTCCGTTATTAACCTGTCACAGGTTTGCTCACATTAATTACCTGAGAATGTGTATAATGAAGACTACTTAAATTTTTAAATACTACATCTTTAATGTCTTCGAGAAAAATGTCAAAGATTTAAATGACCTTTAGGAAATCTGTCTCCTGTTTCAGGAGAATATGAACGCTGACATCTTGCACATTTGGAACCAAAACAAAAATATTGCTCATTAAGAATTGATAGGTTTCTACTCAAATGTTTTATTTGAGCCTTTATTATCATGTGTAAAGGAGACAAGTGCAGGAGCACCTACTGTTAAATCATATTAGAGCATTTATATTAAGAAAATCCAAACAATTGCCATCATTACTTGTTCAAATGGTTGGTTCCCATATATGAACCAAATTAACTGACATTTTTAATTGTTTCCGTAAAGGCCTTGTCCTTTAATTGTGTACTAGTACTTCAGGTCCCCAAAGATATTTGTTACATTTATTAAACAAATTATTCCATTTGAATAATTTTGAAGCTTTTCTTAACTTCTTAAGAATTTCTTTCATGTATGAAAACCTGAGCTGAGATGTTTTTGAGTTTAAAAAAGGTTTGAATTCTTTCTTTCAAAATCAGAGATGTTTCCAGTGACACAGGCACAAAGACACTACACACCACAGAAGGTGCTTCTCTTTATTTCTCCACTGAGAGCTCTATGAGTGTCAACAAGAACCCGCAGCTTTGCAAACTCAACTGAATAGCTGCTTTTTAAACATTCGTCAGTAATGGACTTGAGCTATATACCTCAGTTTTGATCTCTATCTGTCTATCTATGGTTTTCATATATATATTTCAGGGTGAAAATTAATGATATCTGATAAATGAATCACTGCTTTTATAGCTTGTAACCGGATGGAAATGTCACATGAAATTTCAGGATAAATTATGGAATATTTAAACATAAAATGGGGCTATAATTATATAATTATGCTTAAAAAAACTATGATTTCATGCAGTGACACATTTTTTTTTACTGATACTGAGCACACTCTTTGTATCTATATGTAGAGGAGACATATGCATTACAGTGACTTGCAGCTGGCCGTAAAAAGCATCCTTTCTTCACATTCTTCCCTCCAATTCCTCCCTTTTTTCAGTTTCTCTCTTTTGCTCCCTCCCTCCAATTGTAATGTCTCTCGCTCCTGCTCTCTCCCTCCCTTCCCCTCTCCTCTCTCTCTGCTGGCTTGTGACAGACGGCCTAATAGGATTTAATAAACCCCATTTGCATGTCAGCCTTCTAGATTTTCTGTGAGAAAGAAAGGCGAGGGGGGGAGGACAGGAGGAGGGAGGGATGGTGTGAAGGAATAGAAAGGATCGGGAGGAAGGAGGGAAAGAAGTGTGTGTGACGATGGATGGATTGGTTTAAGGACCAATTTCTTTTTGACGAAGGTAGAAAAGTATTGTTCCAGGAGGTTTCAAATAAGTTGCATTTAAAAGATATCATGCATTAATCCATGTCTATTACTATTGTTATTATTATTATATTCTAAATTAAATATGTGAGCAGAAAATTGATTCTGATGCTTGTGTGGGATTTTTCATTCGTCTGAGAGTTCAATGGTTTAAATGTAGTTTCAGAGGTGTCCGTGTATTTTGGTGTAAATTTTGGAGCAGGCAGCCTCACGTCACTTCTTCCAAGTGGCTTTTGCTTGGATTTATTTTTTTGTTCAGAGCAAACGGTAAGAACAGAGTCAAGATTCTCAAAAAACGGATCACAGCACAATAACCCTAAACCTGTGATATGTGACGATTCATCAAGTTGGACCTTGTTGCTTTTGTCAGTGGAGTGTTTGATCTCTATTTTCAGTTTCATACACTGTAGAGTCTGAAATACAACATTTTGATATACAGCTGTTCTTGTATTTTTGATTTGTCATTTATTTAGCTGACATAAATCTGAGGTGAATGTGTTGCTTTCATGTTAAATAGAGTAATGCGATACGTAATAGTTCTTAAATATGTGTAGATGGTCTTAATTGTGTTAGTGTTCATTTAACCTTAGTCCTATCCCACTTAAAAATACACATTTTAAAAGATTGTTTTGGTGGTGTGTTATAATTTGTAATGTCTTGTAATATCTTTACGTTGTAGTTCTTTCTCAATAATGCAGAAATGAAACTACCACCTTGGTGGCAGCTGATTGTGGATTATGATTCCAATTAGATTGTCTAGATCTACAGTATGCCTCATGTATAAATATGTTAAACACCTCTCACTCTTGCCGAGGGTTAAGGTCAGAGGATATCACAAGTTGTTGAGCTCTATGAGACACATTGTGATTAGTGAATATGGGCTTTACAAACTAAACTTCAGAATTGGCCACTTTAGTGAACATTTATGAAAAAAATTAAGATCATCTAGACTCTTGTTCAAGAATAGTCAGTAACAGTTGTACCAGCCTTTAAACCTCAGAGTTTGTCTGGTCTTAGTTTTTAGGTTGTCCATTATATGATGGAAGATACACATTATACATAAGTGATATTGCCTTATTTCACTCATGATTTCAATTTTCCATACCTTTCTGAAATGTTTGATTTTGTCATTTTGTGGTATATTGCACTTCTCCGGTGCTCACATGGATAGAAGTGTAAATTGGAGGGTGTGCGTGTGCATGTGTGAGGAAGACAGGGACTGTCATTCTGTAAGGAGGATAAAAGGTCCAGCCAAAAACCATGAGTGTTGCATACATCTCCACACACTCAGTAATCCCCATGTTGGTAGCTGATGTTATTGCCATGTAATAGGATCAGAATGAGGCAGCGTCAATATCGGAGCAAACATCTCACTCACACACACACGTCTGTGCACGCACACACGCACACACGCACACACATACACAATCGCTGATCAAACATGGCTCAGGAAACATTGTGATCCAGGAGAGATGAGAGGACTAATCCTTTTAGCCTTCTGAGAACTCTTCTCCTCCTCCTCCTCCTCCTCCTCCTCCTCCTCCTCTTTTAGGCTCGCTTCCTCAATCATTCTTCTCCTCTGCCTCTCTCTTCCTCTTTTCCTTGACAACATTGTTTGCCACACTCTCCCTCTGCCACTTTCACTGACAGGGACAGGGCTATGTGGGGGAAGGAGAGGGAGCTTCTGAGCTAAATATACATGCTCGACGTGTGTATGTTTGCGTTAAGTGGAAATTGATCTGCTTGGTTTGCTGAGAGATTAGACCTGATAAATCCTCCTTTTTAAGGCAGCCTCCCTCCTCAGCCTCCTCCCAGCTACACTCCAGAGTGCCAGAGGATGGTGATGTGTCTTGGTCCGTATGACAATTTGATTCACTGAGATATCTTGACAGCTGCACCAAAGTTGTACAGATGTTTGAGAACAATTGTTTTTTTTTGTTGTCATTTCTGCGTCTGTCGGATGTTAGAAACTTCATCAACAACCCATTTGTTCACAGTGAATCCTGCGGAGGATCTCCTGCATTCTCACATTGTCTCCTTTCTGTGGACTTTCTACTGAGCGTGGCAGCCAGATGGAGAAAGCCCTCACTCGGACATATGTATCAACACATACAGCCTCTGTGGAGAAAGTCCGGAGGATCTCCAGAGTTCAGTGCATGTCTGAAAGCGGCTTTATTGTGTGAAATGAGTCGAATGTAATTGTCATCAGCAAATGTCATGCTGTACAACATCAGTTTCTGTGGAGTGTCATCATGCCAGTATTCACATGAATCCTGTAGTATGTTATGCTGTATTCTGATTGGTTGGTTTGAAGCCATGCATTACAGCAGCAGGAGCACAAGTTTCTCTTATTCATATTCATATTTTGTTTAAAATGTATCTTATTTTCTTTTCTGAATTATTTTCAAAGTTTGGAACCAGTAGTGTCAGTTATATTTATTTTGGCTGTCGTCTTTCTTCTCCTGTTTAATGAATTACAGTTTTTATTTACTGTGAGTGTATGAAAAACAGACAGTGTTATTAGTGCATATCATACTCACAGGTTTGTGGAAATGTTCACGGTTGCATATGTGTGTGTGTCTTCAAACAGAGCTGTGAGTGCTTAATGAATTTACTTTGCTCTGATTGGAAATTAATTAAAACAGCCTCAAACA